TATTCATTCTCTATAACTTGTATATGTATTTGCATGAAATTGTTACATGTTTTGTTTTAATTTCAGTTCTAGAGAATTACTAAAAAGGCGCATATCTGCAGTGTAACTCCCTAAGTGTGAAAAGCAGGAGAATAGCAAGAGAGTGGTCGGTGACACTGCCTGAGACGCTGGAGTCATGTGGGAGCACTCCCTTCGAATCCCCCTCCACCCAAGATGGTTGGGGCAGGGAGACTGCGTCTATCTGTCTGTGTGTCTCGAGCCGTTGTTAAGATTGCCCTAACAGCAGTGTTCATGTGAGGTCACCTGTTGTTTCCTACCACCCTGCTATCACAAGGCATTAAAGAACCTCCTGAACACTCAGAGGCATAGTGTGAATGACCTTGAAAATCACCTGAAGCCTGTGCTGCTAACCCAAGGTTTCAAGAAGAAGGTGACAAACACTGTTCTAGTTAGTGCTGTCCTCGATTTCCATCGCTGAGAAGGTTGGTTGTCATTTGAAAGAATGTCTTCTCTCTCTCTGATTTATGGCTTCTTGTGCTAGACCTGGCTGTTGTGAGGCTGACACCCTGAGGAGGGAGATTTATTGGTAGGTGCTGACGTGGTTTCCCAGCTGTGCCCAAGGCAGACTAGAATTGTGAGTGCAGTAATAAACCTGAGTTCCCTCAACAACCCATAGGCAGAGGTGCCCTTAATTGGTCCCTGCCCTTGCATGAACTTGAAAGGGTTGTTTGGTGATTGACCTCCAAACCTCAGTTGTCTACCCTAGTTCCACCCTGATCGTGATGGTGCAGTTGTGAATCTTGCCAGCTCCTCAGCCCCATGCTTGCCCAGACAGCATCTCAGGTCAGCAGACAGTGGAGAAAGCGGAAGTTGGCTCACCCAGCCTGAAGATCTTTGACCACCAGAGAACCCGTGCATCCTGCCCAAACTTCCCCATTTGTGTCTGCTTTCCCTGCTTTTGGGCTTACTTACCAGCGTAGAAGTTGCATGGATTAGAAAATTGCTCTGACAGCCCATCTGACTTGGGAACCTGCCTGGTGAGGGAAGAGGACACTGTGGGGCCGTTATCAGAAGACATGGGGTAGAGACAGCAGTAGGATCCATATGCAAGGAGGCAAATTAAACCAAAGAGGGAAATAGAGTAATAGGCTAAAGGCCAGATGGAGACTTCTGGTTCAGTGCCAAATGAAGAGAAGAGTGGGCATTTATAAGGTCCTCATTTACTCAGGATAGTGAGTTAAATATTCAATGCTGCAGAATAACTGGATGAAGTTCTGGAAGCAGTTGGGAAATAAGAATTAGAAATTGATGAACCTTGCTTTGCCCCCAAGCTCCTTGTGTTGAGCAGGTGCCATGTGCCAGGCATTTTGTGAAATACCTTACTGCATTATCCATAGTCAGTATCTCATTTAATCTCTATCACATCAACCATCTCAAGAAGGATAATGTTATCTCACCCATTTTCCAGACAAAGGAAAGATTTAGAGAGATGATGTCTAAATATTTTAATGCAAGTGTTCTGACTCCAGTGCACACACCTCTTTAAAAAACTTTTTTTGAAAGATGGGTTCTTGGTACGTTCCCTAGGCTAGTATCTAGTGGCTGTTCATAGGCACGATGATAGCACACTACAGTCCTGAAATCCTGGACTCAAGCAGTCCTCCTGCCTCAGCCTCCCAAGTAGTTGGGACTACAGGCATATACCACCAAGCCTGGCTACCAGTGCACACACTCTTAAGCACCACATGAAGGATTAGACTGTTCACATAAGTGTTGAAGTATAAAGAAGGAAGTATAAACTGTAAATGGGACCCACCTTGCTTGGGTAGGGAGAGGAGAGCTGGAGAAGTCATGCCGTCCCAGTTTACCTGAATGCCAGGGATGACTGCTGGCACAGGAGGGCTGCTGTTGAGAGCCTCCTGACCCTGTTGAGCTGTTCCAGGTGAGCTAGCCAGGTGCAGCAGCTTCCTGTTGATTTGTGGCTTCATTTGGGGACTAAGACAGGCTTTTTGCAGCTCTGCCCAGCACACAGCTGTGAAGCTGTTTGGTTTGACCACATGTGAATGCGGGTCAGGCCCTGGCTTTCTCTCTGGTACAGAATGCAGTGGGTGCCTAGGTAATTTGGAAAGGGTAGATAGTTTATCTGATCCTGCCTGGCCACCTGGAAGGTCTTTAACAAAGGAATTGTACTTTGGCCTTGTTAAGTCACGTGCAATAATAGTAGACACAGTGAGAGCCCTGTAGTATGAGGTGCTATGCTATTTATTCTGAGGGTTGTTTTGGTTTGTTTTGTTTCATTTTGTTCTACTAAATGGCTGAAAAAAAACTTGACAGAGGGAGTGCTTTTTATTTTTTAAACTCCAGGTATTTATTTTTCCATTGCGTAGGACAGTGTTTTGTTCCTTAATTTTCTGCCAATTTCAAGTATTTTCTGCTGTTACTAAAAGAAGCCGTCTTCTTCCTGGGATATTTTTGTTGTTGGTTGATTTGTTCATTTGTTGAATATGTGTTTACTGATTATCTTCTATGGGCCAGCTACCACGTCAGCACTGGGAAAACAGACATGAGCAAGAGAGGTACAGTCCTCAGGGAACTTGCCCAACGCCCCCGCTCCCACCACCTTTTTTTTTGAGACAGGGTCTCACTCTGTTGCCCAGGCTGGAGTGCACTGCTCACTGTAGCCTGTAACTCCGGGGCTCAAGCAGTCCTCCCGCCTTTTTGTCATTATTTTAGACAAATAAAAACAAAACAGTCCTTTCGGTGGTGTTATAAAGGAGGGTGCAGTTATCACAGGAGATGACAGCTTCTTGTGTGTTACTGCCCTGGAGACTTTCCAGTGGGACAGATGGGGAGGTGGAGACGGTGGTACTGATGATCCTGCCCCTGCAGACCTGGGCTGATTAACGTCTTCTGTCTTCGTCTTTAATGAAAAGCTTTAAAAGTAAAAAAATAATTTTTAAAATAGAAAAAAGCTTAAAGAATAAGGACACAAAGAAAAAATATTTTTGCCAACCTGGACAATGTAATGAAACCTTATTGCTACAGAAAGTTTAAAAATGAGCCAGGCATTGTGGTGCTTGCATATAGTCCTAGCTACTCGAGAGGCTGAGGCAGGAAGATGCCTGACCCCAGGAATTCAAGGCTGCAGTGAGCTGTGATCACCCACTGCACTCTAGTCTTAGCAGTAGAGTGACACCCTCTCTCAAAAAAAGAAATGAAAAATATTTTATACAGCTGTAGTATGTGTGTCTATTTTAAGCTATTACAAAAGAATAAAAATGTTTTTAAAAAATTAAAAGTTTATAAAGTAAAAAAGTTACAGTAAACTAAGGTTAACTTAGTAATAAAGAAAATTTTAAAAATCCATTGAGTATAGGTTAAATGTGCCATAGTTATGAAGTTTACCTTGGCGTAGAGTAGTGTCCTAGACCTTCACATTCACTCGCTGATTCGCTCAGAGCAGCTTCTAGACCTGCAGCCTCCATTCATGTTAGTGCCCTTCACAGGCAGAATTTTTATCTTTTATAGTGTATTTTTACTGTACTTTTTCTACATTTTGGTATGGTTGGATACACAAATACTTACCATTGTATTACAATTGTCTGCAGTACTCAGTACAGTGCCATGCTGTACAGGTGTGTTGCCCAGGAGTAGTGGGCTATACCATATAGCCTAGGTGTGTAGTAGGCTATCCCATCTAGGTTCATTTGAGTCTCTGTGATGTTTGTACAAACAAGTCGCCTAATGATGCATTTCTTAGAACTTATTCCTGTCCTTGAGCAACGCATGACTGTGTTTTCTTGCATCCTGTGGATTTGTTCACTTTTTTAGTAGTAGTATTTGCAGTTCAAAAGTTGTTAATTTTGATGAAGTTCAACTTTCTATTTTTTATTTTGTTACTTATGCTTTTGGTTTTGTATCTAAGAAAACATAGTCAAATTCAAGGTCACAAAACTCCTGTTTTTTTTCAGCGAGGTTTACAGTTTTAACTCTTACGAGGTCTGATCCAGTTCAATGTCAAATAGGAGTGGTGAGAACAGATGTCCTAGTCTTAATTCCTGATCTTTGGGGCAAGTCATTCAGTCTTTTACCACGGCCCAGAGGGTTTTAAACACCTTACTTCTAGTTCAGTCACCGCGGCCAATTCTGGAGCCTTGCACATGTCACTTGTTGCAGTTTCTAAATTAAAGAATGAAGAGGTTGATCCAAAAGGGCCTTCCTCACAGGTTGCGGTGAGCCACAATTGCGCCATTGCACTCCAGCCTGGGCAATAAGAGCAAAACTCCATCTCAAAAAAAAAAAGGGGGGGAGGGGGTGTTTCCTTTCCAGTTCTCACATCCTGCACAACTATGATTTGACTGGGTGTTCTTTCTTCTTAGCCAGCCCCCTTGGGTGTTGGTTAGATCATCACGCAAACTCTTTAAGGACACGGGAATATTTGCAAGTTTTCTTTCCATATTTATTTGGACTGCCTTTGATTTCCACAATTCTCAGCAACCCAACCTTGCTGAAAATTGCAAAACTTGAAGCATATAAGCAGAAATGTTTTGTAATGGATCCATATGTCCCTTCCTTTGAAACTCTGAACAGCCAAGAAAAAAAATGGGTTTGGGGACATTGCTCATTTCCACAAATGGTCAATGGGCCCTGCGCGGTGGCTCACACCTGTAATCCAGCACTTTTTAGGAGGCAGAGGTGGGCAGATGACGAGATCAGGCGATCAAGATCATCCTGACCAACATGGTGAAACCCTGTCTCTACTAAAAGTAGAAAAATTAGCTGGGCGTGGTGGCACGTGCCTGTAGTCCCAGCTACTCAGGAGGCTGAGGCAGGAGAATCGCTTGAACCCGAGAGGCGGAGATTGCAGCGAGCTGAGATCACACCACTGCACTCCAGCCTGGTGACAGAGTGAGACTCCATCTCAAAAAAAAAAAAAAAGGTCCACGAACCGTAGCTTCTTCCCACTCCTGTCTAACAGTCAGTACCCTCTTTGTTTTCAGACTCTCAGCGTTCTCATCTCTCTTCCTTCACCATGAAGCTGATGGACAAATTCCACTCACCCAAAATCAAGAGAACACCATCGAAGAAGGGAAAACCAGCTGAGGTGTCCGTTAAGATTCCAGAGAAGCCTGTGAACAAAGTAAGCTGACTCTCACTAGGTGTTCTCCTGGCCTCACCTGCTTCGAGCGGTGTGAGTTTGTGTGATTTGTATGTTCCCTCCCTGGGGATTGAGCTTTCAGTGCATCATACCTACTTTGTAGTGTTCCATGGGCAGGACCTTTGGTGTCCTTATAAAATAAGAACCATTAGGATGGTGAGTGCTTGCCATGTTAGTCAGCCAAGCTCAGTTGGCTAGGACAGTTCTCCTTTTCCAGCTGTGTCATCCTCTGGGCATTTAAAACAGCTCAGCACATCATGTTCACACCCCAGGCTGCTGCTTCCCTGCCCTGCAGTTCCCTATGTTGCCTTCGTGCACACTCAAACACAGGGAACTTTGTGATGTCCAGAACATCCATCATTCAGCTTTAGGGCCTGTGTTCTGAAATGTGCAAACCCCTTGAGACCTAGCCAAAGATGTCCTCAAGAGTTAGTGGCCTCAGCAGGGCCAGTCGAGCCAGATAATGTTGAAACAGCTATTGATTTTCATCAACCCCTCCCTTCAGCCTCAAACAGCCATTTCAAGCTCTGTAGGAATCCAGGTTTCCTCTCTTCCAGGAGGCAACAGACAGATTTCTACCAGAGGGCTACCCTCTCCCCTTGGATCTGGAGCAGCAGGCAGTAGAATTTATGTCCACCAGTGCTGTGGCTTCCAGGTCTCAAAGGCAGAAGGTCAGTGTAACATTAAGAACAATTGGGTTTGCCTTGCCTTCTACTGCAGAATCCTGGTCCATGATTTTGGGGATGGAAAAAAAATCTATTGCACTATTATTATGTTCAACTGGGTGGTGACCGTGGGCTGTTGTTCAGGAAAGAATCCAAGGGACCTTGGATAAAAGTGAGAGTTTATGCAAGGTCCCATGATCTTTGGAGGGAGCTTTGTGGCAAAAGCTCAGGGATTCTTTCTGGGGTTGGTTTGGGTGTGCTGCTTGGGTCCAACGGGTTCCGGGCGATGTGGGCGAGTCTCATCTCAGGACCAGCTGTTCCTTGAATTGCTAAGATGATCTGAATAGTTTAGAAGGGGAAAGGCTTCTGAAGCCTTAGAGTGCTTTCTTAGCCATCTCACAAGGCTGCTGGAGTGCAGTGAGACCGCCGCATAACCAAGTGCCCTTCAGAGCCACGGACACCTGTGTCCCTAATATTTATGGAGCCTTTTCTTAACCCAGTGCTGAGTGCTTTACACGTGTCCTCTGACTTATCTTCATAGCAACCCTGATGTGTGAAATCTTATTTTGCCAAAAAAGAAACTGGATTTATAGAAATATTAAGGATTTATCCAAAGTCACACAGCAAAAAGGTGGTGAAGTCAAGATTTGAATGCAGGCTACCCAGTGTCAGAGTCTGAATTCTCGAGATGCTACATTTCCTCCTTATGAAAGACAGAATTTTTATCTCACAAATTTAATTATTAATCCCAACTCATTACGTAAAAATAAAACTAGGCCAGGTGCAGTGGTTCACACCTGTAATCCCAGCGCTTTGGGAGGCCAAGGCGGGTGGATCACCGGAGGTCAGGAGCTCGAGACCAGCCTGGCCAACATGACAAAACTCCATCTCTACTAAAAATACACACACACACACACACACACAAAATTACCCAGGCATGGCGGCAGACACCTGTAGTCCCAGCTACTCAGGAGGCTGAGGCAGGAGAATCACTTGAACCCGGGAGGCGGAGGTTGCAGTGAGCCAAGATCATGCCACTGCCCTCCAGCCTGGATAACAGAGTGAGACTCCGTCTCCAAAAAATTAATAAATAAAGCAAAAATAAACTTAGCAATGTAATAAAACAAACCTTGTAGACAGATATTCTGAATTCTTTAGTGATCATCTGAAGTATAATTTATATGTAGCAGAACTACCATCACAGCCATCAATTTGATGCAGCCTGTAAACGCTAGCCTGTTATTTAAATATATAATTCTTGAATTTTTCAATTCAACTATTTTTGGTTTTTATGCTGACCAGCATAATATCTTACAATTTTAGTAAAAGTGGAGGAAAATAAAGATCTTAAATCCAAAAGTCTTTTTTTCAAAAATAGCTTTTCCTGCCCCCTCTTTTAACAAAAGGTGGCTGACAAGCAAGAGGGGAATAGTCAGTGTTTACCAGATTGATCAGAATTCCAGATTGAAGAAGGGTAATACAGTAGATCTGGTCTGTGCCACAGTTATTTTTTATTACAATCTGTTTAGTAACCTCTTATAGCTGAGTTGAGTATTAACTACACGGAGAGTGTAATTGTCATCCAACACTAGTCCAGGCAGTTTAGAGTAAAATGATTTACTAACGACTTTGTTCTGCTGGTGAACTCTGATATGAAACTGTTCAGCCACTCAATTCTTGAGATTCCCTCCTCCCCTATTGTTGTTATTGTTATTGTTGGTTTTTTGTGGGGTTTGTTGTTGTTGTTGTTGTTTATTTTGAGACAGAGTCTCACTCTGTCGCCCAGTCTAGAGTGCGGTGGTGCAATCTCAGCTCACTGCAACCTCTGCCTCCCAGGCTCAAGCGATTCTCCCGCCTCAGCCTCCCGAGTAGCTGGGACTACAGGCACCCACCACCACGCCCAGCTAATTTTTGCATTTTTAGTAGAGACAGGGTTTTGCCATGTTGGACAGGCTGGTCTCGAATTCCTGATCTCAAGTGATCTGCCCGTCTCATCCTCTGAAAGTGCCGAGGTTACAGGCATGAGCCACCGCACCCAGCCGGGATTTTCTCTTTATTTATTTTTCGAAGAGAGGTCATGGAGAAAAATTCAGTGCTAATGTACCCCTTATTTAGTGGGGTGCCTATAAACCCCAGGGGCCATTTGGCAATGTTTGGAGACATTTTTGGTTGTTGCCATAGGAAGGCAAAGCAGATGTCATTGGCTTCTAGTGGGTCGGGGTTGGGAGGCTGCTAAACATCCTGCAATACACAGGACAGCTCCCCCACAACAAAGAACTCTCTGCCCCAAAATGTCAGTAGTGCCAAGGCTGAGAAACCTATTCTGTAGCAAGGAGCCGTAGGTGTGATCTTCACCCAAGGAGGAATGTTATCCCCTTTTTGCTCATTGCCCGTTAGGAATGGTTGGATGACTCTGCTCTGTCCCAAGCCACCTGCATGGGACAAGTAAATGCAAACCTCTGGCTTCCTGGAGGCCCATGGACAGAACCAGAAGCATTGAGAAACCTGCCAGAGCATGTGAACTTAGAGGATTATGTCCAAGAAACCTTGCAGTGGATCTGTCATCTGCTGCCCTCGTTTATTATTCATTAGCTCGCTTACCACTTAGGAAGTGACCACATCCATTCTTATTGTACTTCAGGTCATATGCCTGGTTTTCCCTGCTCAAATATGAGGGAAATGGAAGTGCCGGGAGATGAAAGTACAGATTCAGATTCACTACCACTTGCCGAGGGGTCCTCCTGGCCCCAGCCCTGTCCTGGGTGGTTTCACACATACTGTCTTACTTACTCCTCACCATAACTGCGTGGGGAAGCTTTTATTATTCCCACTGTGCAGACAGTGTTGGCCCTGGTGCACATTTTCTTAATCAAAATCTGTTTTCCTCACTATCTTCTGTTGTCTTCCCAGACTGATTCCATATTAGCCGTCTCTTGCATCTTCTTAGTGAATTTAAAAGTTCAAAGTACATTTGCGATGAACTTCTAAACTCTTTTGCAACCTTTTAACAAATCTAGCAGTGAGCTGCAGTGTTAAAGTGGTAGAGAAAATTTTGCCACATACTGGGAGTCCAAAGGTATAATTACAATTAACAGTGAGCAGGGGGCCCTGGGACGTGTCAGTGCCCCATCTCTGAGGGCATTTGGACAGAGGTTGGATCCAAGGGCTCACTCAAAGCCTTTCCCTTTCAGCTCTTCAGATCTGAGGATGAAATAGAAGCAGGGAGATGCTGCCGGACAGCCTGGTGGCAGCTAGTGATTTGGAGTTCTCTTCTTACTAGGCCTCACTGTTCTGGTCTAATGGAGAGGAATAATGTTGCATTGCCTTTTTTTTTTAAATACTGCAATTACAGTTTTTTATTATACTGATTGTGACTTGCCCTCCTGCTCACTCCCCGGCTTAACCCAAATTTTCATGGTACACTGTCCTATAGCGTGGAAATGAAGCTTGCATTACTGTGGAGAAGGGTGGCACCAGGGCTGCAGATGGGACAAGGAGTAACAGGGCAAGTTGGGATGTCCCAGACACTGCTCAGCTGTGGGGAGAGAAGTATCTGGAGAGGAGGACCAGTTTTCCTCACCCTCTCCCCCGTCTTCTGTGGCAGCACGTGGCTGTGGAGCCACAGCCTGGGCATCAGAATGAGCATGGCCCACGGGGCGGAAAATGCAATGGGGGTTTTCTGTCCACCTCTGCCATCTGGGTCTTATTTTACTCGTATGTTAAATGAGATCTTTAGACCAGGGGATCTCAAGTAAACTTTTTTATTTCAGCACATTTCTGATCTGGTCTTTCTTTCTTCTCTCCATCTCTCCAGGCTCTGGACTCAGATAAACCAAGTTCAAATTCCATTTCTGTCCCTACCGCTGTGTGGCCTTGGGCAAGTTGCTTAACCTCCCCCGCATCCCGCCAAGTCTCAGTTTCCCCACCTGTGAAATAATAGTATCCACTTAACAGGATGGTTGTAACCTTTAAACAAAACAGCCTACATAAAATACCTAGCACAGTGGGTGCCTTGATGTCCCCAGTGAGTGACAGCTGTGATCTGGCTTTTCTCCACTTTCAGATGTTTCCATCCTAGGTCCTCTTTCTTTGTTTTTTGTTATTGGCAGGTATATGGTCTCTGGTGTTGTTCTAGTGCCTGTTAAATGTTGTGAACTACCCCATATGCATTCTCACTCAGTCCTCCCAGTTATACCTCTTTAGTTACACAGGGAAGATGTTATTCTCCCCATTTTGTGGGTGACAAGCCCAAAGCCCAAGAGTTTGCCTTGTATCTAAGCCATCCTGAGACACAGACAACCTCATTTAGTTTCCAGGCTTGTGTGGACCAATGATGGCAACCCATCCCCCACAGCAGGATGGATGCACAGGTGATGAACACACCTGCCCTCAGGTTATGCAACGAGACAGTTTCAGCAAAGCCAAATATGGAGTCCCCACTCTGAACCAGTGCTGAGGGTGGGTGTGTGGCTGTGAACCCTGACTGCTTATTGCATTCACAAGGAGCCTGGTTTGACAGCTGAAGGGCTGGAAAATGCACAACACCCAGAGGCCATTAATTCTGGGAGTGGAATCTCAGTTAATGAAGGCAGGCTGGCCGTGCTACATTGTTGGCTCCTTTAGGAGGAGCCCAGGGCAGCCTGACTCTTAAATGGCTGATGTGATCTCTCTGCAATGACAGAAAAACTCTCTGCTCTAAAGTACCTTGCTGCTTTCAAGTGCCTCCCATCTTCAGATTAGCCACTTTCTCCCCAGCAAACCTGATGACACATTTTCTTCAAATGTTTCCTGTTCCTCACCAAATTTCATCATTGCTGGCCTCCAACACTTTCTGATGTGCTAAGGCGGCAGTGTTACTGCCATAGCCTCTTCTTGCCTGGCTAACCGTGGCTTTAGGCACATCTGATCTACATCTGATCTGCTGGCACCATGAACTCCTTCATACTCAGGTTCCTCCCTGCCCCAGGCAGGGGACATGAAGCAGAGAGCTCTTGTCCATGAGGTGGAGAAGAAAGCACCCAGCCTCTTGGAAACAGACGTAAACAAATCTGTCAGGTAGTGAAAAGAGAAATAAAGCCAGGGTGCAGGACCCAGGGATAGGGGTGAGGAAGGGGCACTTCCCCCAGCACCGGAGAATTGTATCTTCTGGTGTGTAGGACGCCTTCTGGAAAAGACCCGATGAAAGAAATGACTGGATCTTTTGCACATTGTCTGACTAAAATAGCTACTTACTTGGTGTTACCATCCATTTATGTATTTTTCTTTTGATGCTCCCATGAAATAAAAGCCTCCGCTGTTGAACTTTTTTATATTTAAAGTGATATTCTGCACTTTTAAAACTTTATTTTTTTTAATTGAGACGGGGTCTCAGTATCTTGCCCAGGCTGGCCTTGACTCCTGGCCTTGACTCCAATGATCCACCCACCTTGGCCTCCCAAAGTGCTGGAATTATAGGTGTGAGCCACCGCATCTGGCCAACCTGCACTATTTTGGAAGAAAAGAGCTAGTGTTCAGAACCACAAGCACTTTTTATTAATTTCTACCATTTGTTTGTATATGCATATTGTTTAAATCACTTTGTTCTAGAAATGATCTTCCTGCCCTCAGTTGTTTCTGTTTACATCCTCTGGACCTCTGAGAGCCTGCAGGTGGCTATTTGCCTCATACACACCCCTCCTAATTTGCCCTGGACATGTAATCGACTGCTTGAGTACATTGTCCATTTGGGGTTTTATCCATTCCGTACACTATTCTTTTTTTTTAAAGGACAGCCTCCCAAACCAGAACAGTTCAGAGACTCCATTTCTGTAGATTACTCTGAGCCTCCTTCTCCTGCCAGCCAGCTGAGACCAGGATCACTGACATCAGGGCAAGTCAAGGGGAAATTGGAGAGAAGAACGAAAGGGGTGTATAGACCCACCAACTGGATCCAGCGCCTCCCGTAGTCAGGGAGAAAAGCCTGGAGCTGTGGCTTCAACACTGGAAAGTGCAGGGCTCTGTATTTTCTTTCTCTCAGGTGGGCTTCTCTCAGGAGCAGAGGGCCCATGAGTGCTGTTAGCACCCACTGCATGAGTAGTGACTGAATCTTGAGAATCACTGTCATCTGCTCTGGCTTTTCCCCCTTTTCTCCCCGAATTTCCTGCCTCTTCTAGCCCTGGGAGCTTCCAGGCCCTTTGTGAGTAGCATATCATTTCCTTGAGTGGGGGCTTCACGGGGACAATCTGGGAACCTAGTGAGGAGTCCTGAGGGAATGGGTTTCGGCCCCTCCTGCCCCGGACGAGTCTTATACAGTCCCTCAAATCTTCAAAACAAAAGCCTGGAGTTTCTGGATGTGATTTACAGGATCCAGATGGACCATGGGTCTTGACTGCTGCTTCTCCAAGTCATCAGCAAATTCGTCTTCATTCTACTTAACGGGGTTAGTGGTGGTATGTCAGTGTGGCTGATGAGGATAGACAGGAGAAGTGGTTTCTAAGACCTCAAGGTCCGGGAAGGGAATTGAGAAATTTCTGAATGACCTTTCTTGGTCCAAGCCCCCTTCTTCCTTCAGCTCTAGCCTGTCTCCTGATTACAGTCCTTAGAAAAATGATCTGGCTTGGTTTCTATAGCAAGAGCCTTTCTATTCCTCTCTAGCTCAGGCTGGTTTAAAGAAAACGTTCCTTTATTTTTTCAGAACGGCTCCCTTTCATCTCTCTCCTCCTCCTTGTGCTTGACGTCTCCTTTCAGAACCTGAGCTGGCTGGAGGAGAAAGAGAAGGAAGTTGTCAGTGCCCTGCGCTACTTTAAGACCATTGTGGACAAAATGGCAATTGATAAGAAGGTACTGGAGATGCTTCCAGGGTCGGCCAGCAAGGTGCTGGAGGCCATCTTACCCCTGGTGCAGAGCGACCCTCGAATTCAGCACAGGTGAGTGGCTCTGAAGTCCTTGGCTGTGTCAGAGCAATGGAAGCCTTAGAGGCATCTCGGTTCGGGGGCACTGAAAACTCAAGGTTTCTAGGAACAGTCAGGAAAAGGACTCCATTACCCCTCCTCCTTCCCCCGACCAATTTCCCCACAGCTCTCCCTTGATGCCATCCCAAAATTGAGGTCACTGTTACTCCTGAAGCCCAGGACACATCTCTGCCATCCCTAGGGATGTGACCACAGTGTAAGTTTGTGATCATTTCTTTGCTTTAGCTCATTGGCAGTAATCACATTGGTTTGGATACATTTCTCCCGATGCCCCTGAGTCACCTAACATGTCCACTGGATCCTATCAGTGTCCAGCTGCTTAGATGATTAGGTCAAGAGAGGTAGGTAGGGAAGTCTCTGTTAGAGCGTGGGCAGTGCAGCACATAACTGTGTCAAGCCAGGACACCACCAAAACACAGAGCCTACATTCACTGGGTGTGGCAGAAGCCTGTTTGGAATGAAACTCTTTGAGTTTCATTATCTATCAGCTGGAAGCTACTGTTTCCAGTCATCACCAGAGGCCCATCACCAGCAGGGCCTCCACCTATATGAGCCTCTTCGCAGGCTTCACTGTCAGGGGCCGGATTACAGGCTGAAAAGTTAAGAGTTTTTTAGTACCTTAGACCTCCGGGATTACACAGCAGCCTGGAGGCCACACACTGAGGTGAGGAAGCACAAGCTGGAAGAGAGAGAAGGGACCCGACGGACCAGCGCCGTTATTGGTGTTATTGGGTCCAAGCTGGCCTTATCCAAACAGGCCTCCTGCAGGGAGCTTTAATTGGTGGGTTTAAAGCAATCAGGCACGAGTTCAAGAGGCGAGGACTGTGACTAAGAGGTGGTTACTTGAAGTTCTCAGGCAATTGGTCTGTTTAAAGGAGCAGTAGATAAACCAGGAGCCAGCCTGCTGGCGGGGAGAAAGGCCTGTACGTTTCTGTCTCTGGCCACCAGCTAGAGCCAGTCGGGTGGGATGTAGTGTTAGAAACCTTGTTGAGGGTTCGTGAGCCCTACTTCTGGCATGGGAAAGCTAAACATATTTCAAAATAGATGCTGAGGCAACATAAAATTACAAGCACTCTCTACAGGGGACATGGAGCCAGCCTTTGCCCCAAGAAGCTTTTGTTGGGTAACGCTTTTATTACTGAAGTGCACTTTCCTCTTAAAGGTTAGCTAGCAGCTTGTCCTGTGTTTATTGTTAAATACAAAAAGAAAAGCGGTACCAAATGTAATCTTAAATGAAAGCCTAGCAGGAGCTTTTTCTGAAGAGGCTGGCGCATTTTTTGTTTTTCTTCCATGGTACCTGTTCAGGATAAATGCTTCTCTGTTGCAATTCCCCAAGATAACTTAGTGTTCATGTAGCCCCATGAGGCTAAGCTTTTATGAACTGCTTTCAGAACTTGGCAATGAAGTTCATAGTTTTCTTCTTCTGGGGGATAAAGCAAATAGTGTCTTTATTTATAAGAAACTCTCTGCCCTGGGGCTTCCACCCTGGAGTTTCAGCTGACCCATGGAGATTGTGGCCTTCTGGCCAGAAGCTCGTTGGTGCTGGTTGGTGAGGGGGATGGAGCAGGGCGTGCCTGTCTTCACTCTGTCTTTCCCAGAGTCAGTCCAGCAACAGCTCGTAGAAGGGTTCAGTGCTGGGCTCCTGGGAGTGAATGTGCCTGACATCTTGCGGTGGTCAGATATGTAGGTGGCCTTGTAGAAAATGTTCTTGTGGACCTAGTTTCAGGTGGTGGTCTCTACCTTGGAAGAGTTAAAGCCTAGTTGAAACAAATCACCTCCCTCTTTTCTATGATAAAGCACTTATTTTATGGTACAGAGAGGAAGCTCTGCTGGAATTTGAAGAAGGGGGAGTTAACGGGTGTTGGAGTTGGTCTGATGAAACCTCCTGGATGAGTAGTTACTGGAGCCCGACCTGAGGGAAAGGCAGTAATTGGATTGGCAGTGGAGGCAGGAGAACAAGAGAAAGGAACTGAGGCCACAGGGCCTGGTGTGTCCCAGGGAGGGGAAGGCGGCCCTCGTGGGCAGAGGGTATACGTCCTAGAGCGTGGCCGAGACGGGGAACAGTGGGAAGAGGGGACTGATCACTTCACCCTGCACCCTCAGGCACTGAGCCTCTTTGGGAGAGTCCAGGATAGTGTCCCCTGGACCCTCACACCCAGAGTATGTTGCTGCTAGGAGTGTTGCTTCCCGGAGCCAGGGCTCTGCTTGTGGGTCACCTGCAAACCCTGGGTGAGAATTGGTCAAGTCACATGATAATGGCAGGGTATTTTTTTGTCTGTTGAGGGGTGGCTCTTAATTGACATTGAATGTCTATAACTATTTCCTAGAGGAGAAAATGGGAAGTGCTGGGGTGTGGCTGTAAGGATCTGTGAAATATGGTTTGTTTTCTGGTAGTCCTTTAATCCCATTGAAGGGATTTTCCTTCTTAAATTCTTCCAGGCTAGTGGTGGTAGTTTTTTGTGTTTTTTTTTTTTTTTTTTTTTTTTTTGGGACGGAGTTTCACTCCTGTTACCCAGGCTGGAGTGCAATGGCGCGATCTCGGCTCACCGCAACCTCCGCCTCTTGGGTTCAGGCAATTCTCCTGCCTCAGCTTCCTGAGTAGCTGGGATTACAGGCACGCGCCACCATGCCCAGCTAATTTTTTGTAGTTTTAGTAGAGACGGGGTTTCACCGTGTTGAGCAGGATGGTCTCGATCTCTTGACCTCGTGATTCACCCGCCTCGGCCTCCCAAAGTGCTGGGATTACAGGCTTGAGCCACCGCGCCCGGCCGTGGTGGTAGTTTTTTGATCTCCTGCAGTGATTGGAAAGACTTCCTCAGATGCTCGTTTTAAATGCTTTGCATTCTCTCTTTCCTCCCCAAGTGCAGTTTGTGAGCTGGAAGATCCTTTCCTGTTTCTTAGGCGGGGCGCGTCCTCGCAAGCAGGCCCTTTGCTGCCCTAACCTGGGTTCCTGGGACAGTGATAAGCTGACCTCAAACAAGCAGCTGGCTCTTAGCTTGAGCTGTGAATGGAGGATTCTCCTGGGTGAGGCACCACCCGAAGGCCCATGTGAGAGCAAGAGTCACAGTCTTCACACACTGGGGGCTTTACTCCGTTGTGGAAACGAGCCAGCAGCTGCGCCCCAGGTGGCATTTTTATAGTCCTCAACCCTCCTTTCTTATCTTAGCCCCTTGACACAGAAATATTCTGCTTCTAAGCTAATGACAGGAAGGCTGGACATAATTCCAGCACCTTCAGGGAAACATTAGCATCCAGTGCAGGTAGGAAGGAAGTAGTGAATGAAAGTGTTTCCCCACTCTCACCCCGCTGTTGCCAGCCCTGTAACAGTGAGATGCTTTCTTCAGTGGAATCCTCCAACAGCACATCAGGGGAAGGCAGCAGGCTTCTTTCAAGAGGCCTCACCTGGCCTTGCGGGAAGCAGAGCGAGGTCCAGCTGTAGAAGCACATTCCTCTGCAGGTTGAGGTCAGCCCTGGTCCAACCCCAGGAGAGACTGCAGGCTTTGTTTTCCCTCTCCATCCTCTTTCCTAAGAGAAAAGTTCCAACAACAAATGCTTTTCACCCGTATTGTCTCCTGAAACAGCCCAATCCTGGCTTTCCCAGGGCTCCTTTGGGAATGTTTGTTTGTTTCTGATGGGACTTGAGAAGTTTGCTTTCATTCCTGCCGACCCTTTTCTCCTGTTGGAACATGCAGAGGGAACGCCTGGCTAAATGGAAACTTTAGATCCCTTGCAAAAATTGTTTCCTCCTTGCCTGATTCTGAAGAGCTTCTCATTAAAGCAGTTTGGTTCATGTTTTTGTTTTCAATGGCTTTGTTTTTAGAACCTGTTTTAATCATACCATACAATAGTATATAGTTTCCTCAAAGTTACATCTTTGGCTCCTAAACATCTGCATCATTTTGGAGTTTTTGGGGTTTTTTGGAGTAGAGTGCAGCACATAAATTTTCTATATTTTTATTCTTCACCTGTTACAATGCATAATGTTTGAAATGGAAAAATAATCCTTTCCATAATTCCTAGGGAAAATTATCTTTATTTATTTAAAAATATGTGGAACATATAGAAATTCTCCATTTAGCTGCTACTGTGCAATGATTGAGGCACTCGGGGCTTCTGTTTGTGGGTGTTGGCATCACAGTGTGGCTGGTAGTGTGGTGCCACACACACACAAACACACTCACCTGTGTTCCCACCCTCATGTCCCCACCTCTATTAGAGGCCCCCTTGCCCCTGATCTGCTGTTCTCAAAATAGACTTTATTCATGTGCTCTTGACGTTTCATGGTTCTGGTGTGGATGATGACGAAGCTGGGCTTGTGACGGAGGAATTCTAATAAACTGCAGACCTGTTTGAGCTCATGACTGTTAAAATTCCACAAACCTGTTGGCTCCTTGTGGCATATCTGAAATAGATTTTATTCTAATTCTTAACAATAAGTATGCACTGCTTGGACCTAGTCTAGTGATTAGCAGCTAGAAGGAGGGAAGATGGGGCACTCCTTGAGAGATGTGAACAGAATCCTGTAGTAGGATGTGAAGCTTGAAAAAGCATCTTAACTATTGTGGTAGAATTTTTGTAATGTTATATTTGGGAAATGAAACAAATTTTGTAATGCAGATTAGAATATAAAGCTCCACAAAATCTTTGTTGGATGTAAGGAAAAAGGCTCATGGGAGAAGTTTGCTTATTAAAAGGCGGTATGGATTTTGCAAAAAGCAAGATGGAAAAGCACACCCTAGCCACCGAGAAGCTGGTTCTGTGCTAAGCGATGGTCGTGCTTTAGATTTGTTTTCCATTCTTCTCTTCCCTGTAGCTCAGCCCTCTCTTCCTGCTATAGCCGAGTGTACCAAAGTCTGGCCAACCTCATTCGCTGGTCTGACCAAGTGATGCTGGAAGGTGTGAACTCAGAAGACAAGGAGATGGTGACGACTGTGAAGGGAGTCATCAAGGCTGTACTGGATGGAGTGAAGGTACCGCTGCGGGTTCCAGACAGTCCCAGTCAGGAGCTCAGAGCAGCCTGCCTTATGGTGCTTGTCACATAAGAGCTTGCTCCTAACCTTAAAACGTTAGAATATCTTTCGATGTCGCTGGTGTTGGTGCGCTCTATCCCATGACTACTTACTTCTCTCGGGACGGGTGTAAATGGCTTTTATAGAAAAGCTGCCCAGAGCAGTGAGCCCTTACTGAGCATTGTATTAAATCTTCAGTGAGTCATCGTAGCATCGTGCTGGTGGGCGTGCTTGTCAGCTAGACAAAATGCAATGGAGATCGTTTTCACAATGACTTTAAGCAAAGCTCCCAGCATGTCAGCGCTACCTTTTCATGTTCTGGAAACTTCTAGGATTCTTGGTAGAAAAGCAGGAGTGAGATGAGTAAGAAATAGAACTTTCTGTATTTACTTGATATCCATGATGTGATCTGTGTATTTGCTATCCAGAGAAGTCAAAAATAGCGTAAGAAATTATGAATCACAGTTAAGATGGGAAGCAAAGGCAATAGAGGGTCTGGAATTGGGGCCGGGGGACAAATCCTAGAGAGAAAATAAGTCCTGGTGGATGAGGATCAAGACAGAATGTTGGACATGAAACAGATCAGGGCCTTTGGGTCAGGACCAGGGCTGTGGGCAGCAGGACAGTGGGCACCAGGACACTGCTGTTGTGTGTGGCCATATAATGTAATAGAAAGGGGGCTGGCCTCAGCCCCTGGCTAGATTTGAATCCCAAGTTTACCGCTTGCTAATCTATGAACTTGAACAATTTACTCAACTGCTCTGCTCCTTAAGTAACTCATTCATAAAATAGGTATAATACTAGCATCGTGCATCACAGGGTTATAGGAAGGATTGAACTAGTCAATACACATAATGCTTCTAGAACAGCACCTAGCACATACGGAGCAGTCAGGCCTTAGCTGCTATTTATTATTAATTATGTGGTGCTAGATGCATCTTTGTAAACAGATCTCTTGGCTTGAAAAACCTGTGTCCCCCTCCTTTCTAGACCACTCAGTCCAAAATCATAGCTGAGATATTTACCCCAGGTTAAAAAAAAATTCCTTCCCTACTCAACCAGGCTAACAAATTCCTGAAAGCTGCCTCCTTGGCCTAACATTTCCCAGCCACTCTGGAGAGTAGAATAAGGACCCTCAAAGGACTTAAATTACAGGGAGAAACTTAGAAAGCATTGCTCAGCATTGCAAATTGCTCCAGAATGAAATATGTGTTTGCTAGGGCGTCTGGGTGGCCCTCCACCCCCAGCAGCATTTAAGGGGAGGCTGACGTGCCTGCTGGAGCCATGGAACTCATGTAAAGGGGACTTGCCTAGATGACATCAGTATTTTCCTCTCAATGCCACCATATTCTCTTTTTTTTCTTTGAGACGGAGTCTTGCTCTGTCACCCAAGGCTGGAGTGCAGCGGCGCAATCTCGGCTCACTGCAACCTTTGCCTCCCGGGTTCAAGTGATTCTCCTGTCTCAGCCTCCCAAGATGCTGGGATTACAGGCACATACCACCACACCCGGCTAATTTTATATTTTTAATAGAGATGGGGTTTCACCATGTTGACCAGGCTGGTCTCAAACTCCTGACCTCAGATGATCTGCCTGCCTCTGCCTCTCAAAGTGCTGGGATTACAGGCGTAAGCCACCTCACCCAGCCTCTCCATGTTCCCTGCATTCCAGAAAGTTAACTAGTATCTCCTTAGGGAAGCGAGACTCAAGGGCATAGCCCAGGGTGGCTGTGATGATCAGACCTGATGGCCCTTTCCAGAATTTGGAGGACAGGTACATGTCATCCTGTCTGGTCCTCAGTAGCACGTTGACATCAGCAGGGCCTAGTGGGATGTGGCCTGGGGCTTTACCAGCAGCCCTGAGTCACTCTGGCTCACCCACTGCTGTTCCTGTCCAGGCTTCTGAAAATGCCATTATTGAAAATTGTTGGGCCAGGCACGGTGGCTCACGCCTGTAATCCCAGCACTTTGGGAGGCCAAGGCGGGTGAATCACGAGGTCAAGAGATCGAGACCATCCTGGTCAACATGGTGAAATCCCGTCTCTACTAAAAATACAAAATATTAGCTGGGCATGGTGGCGCGTGCCTGTAATCCCAGCTACTCAGGAGGCTGAGGCAGGAGAATTGCCTGAACCCAGGAGGCGGAGGTTGCGGTGAGCCAAGATCGCACCATTGCACTCCAGCCTGGGTAACAAGAGTGAAACTCCATCGCAAAAAAAAAGAAAATTGTTATTTTTCAGGTAAGATTGTTAAGGTTTCCTTCTATGAAATCGATTCTGATGAGATGTTCACAACAAGTTAGAGCAGCCAAAAAAGAGGAGAGTGAGTTTCCACTCATAAAGCTTTGTGACAGTCCCAAGTACATTTCCTCTTTGGAGTCATTACAGCACCACTTTATTTGTTGAAAGGCATGTCTGAAAGAAAAATTTCCTTGATTTTCAAAGTGACTGGGACAAAAAGAAAGAGAGAGAAACCTTTAGATTATGAACCTGTCAACGTCAGAGCGAATAACTTTTCCACAATTGCTTTAAAAGTATTTTAGCTAGAACAGATTCTCTAGGTGAGAAGCTTTACAAATTCCGTTTTGCTTCATTTATTCAAGAAGCATTTAGTGAGAACCTTCTATGTGCCAGGCAGTGAGAGATAATTGGGAATATGAGCAAAGCTGGCACAGACCCTGCCCTATGGAGCTTACAGTCTAAGTGGGGAAGGACCATAAACACAGAAGCACACCATGTGGTACAGCACCACCAAGGGAGCTGACACATGGTGCGATGAGAGTGTGCGACGACCTTCCTTTTTCAGGGTGGTCAGAGACGTTTCCCCAAGGAAGAGACAGGCCAGTGTTTGGAGGATGGATAGGGGCTGCCTGTGGCTGGAAGCTTTTCATGCTGGAGTCATTACGGGCAGCGAGAATGATTGAGACACTGTGATGTTGGTGTTTGTTGTTATTATCTGATAGTAATAACAGCTAACATTTATTGGGTGCTTTTTGTACGTTATCCGAACTTAATACTCATGACAACCCTCCATAGTAGACATGAATGGCTGCCCTTGCTCCTTTCATAGGTGTGGAGACTCAGAGACGCAGGCTCAGGTAGACCAGTAGTCAGTGCCAAGGGTGTGTGATTCCCACCCCTGCCTGCTGCCCCACTCCCAGCTCCTCCCTGAGCTGCCTCCCACAGGAGGACAGGATTCTCTGTGCTCCCACCTCCAAGCCAGCTGGCTTCCAGCCTTTCTCGCCATCTCCATCAGGCCTGAGACACCTTATAAGCCCATGCCCTGGTGGTGTGAGAGAGCCTCCCCTCAGCTGGAAGGGACCGGAACTGTGCAGAAGGGAATGTACTCATGAAGATGTCGTCACCCCACTTGGAGGAGGGACGTTGGACGTTCCTTTACACTGACTCACCATTGTTTAAGTAACTCATTCAGTTGTTCAAGGGAGTCTTGTCTTTTTTTTGGCCGAATGATTGAAAACGTGTTATAAAACAGGATGACTTTGGTTTTGTCCCTGAATGAGTAGTAGCATTTATCATTTAAACCCCCACATAAATGCCACTTGTTCAAGCTGTATAACCTTGGACACGGTCCTTCCCTGAGTTTCAAGTAGGTTTTATAATATTTACCCTGATGATCCAAGGAAAGATTCAGTAAGATAAAGTATGTAAAGTACTTGGTAAGAACTAGGTGACCAGGAGGCCGTGGGGAAACAGTGTTACCTAGAGAAGTGTTCATTGCTGACGGCTCACAGTGACCAGATTTTGACAGTGATTATGGCTCTTTTCCAGGTAGTCTTATTATCTCAGGTAAAAGATTAGACCCCTGTCACCTCATCTGGCTCTGGGGCTGCTTTTCACCAGGAGCCTGTAGTTCAGAGCTGATTGTGACTCTTGGAGGAAGGATGTCTGAGGAGTTTAAAGACTCTCACTTTTTTCTCTGAGAACCACACCCAGCCTAGCACCCATGCTGGGAGGCTGAGCCACTCGAGGTCAAAGAGATATCCCAATACGACCTTGTGAAATCAGTTCCCCACCTCTTCCCAACTTTACCAGTTAATTTGCTCTCTTACATGAGCACCAGAGCTGTATTTTAACTTGTCGATGGTCATTTCAGCCCTTCCTTCTCTATGTTCATTTTCCTTTTTTTGAAGACAGAGTCTCGTTCTTGTTGCCCAGGCTGGAGTACAATGGCTGATCTTGGCTCACCGCAACCTCCACCTCCAAGATTCAAGCAATTCTCCTGCCTCAGCCTCCCGAGTAGCTGGGATTACAGGCACATACCACCACACCTGGCTAATTTTTATATTTTTAGTTGGAGACAAGGTTTCACCATGTCGGCCAGGCTGGTCTCAAACTCCTGACCTTAAGTTATCCACCCTCCTAGGCCTCCCAAAGTGCTGGGATTATAGGTGTGAACCGCCGCGCCTGGCCTGTGATCATTTTCAATATGAATAAAATGAACATGGAAATAAAGTATTACATATTTGGAGAGATACTTTTCTAAATACCATTTTTGACTTTTGAAAACTGATTTTCAGTGAACCTGTCAGCAGTTTATAGTCACTGCTATAGACATATAGTCTAGAGTAGTCTCTTCCAGTATTTTTTTGTTTTTTTTTTTTTCTTTTCTGAGACAGAGTCTCTATCACCCAGGCTAGACTGCAGCAATGGCACAACCCCTGCTCACTGTAGCCTCCACCTCCTGGATTCAAGTGATCCTCCCGCCTCAGCCTCCTGAGTAGCTGGGACCACATCCCACTATTTTTTTTTGTATTTTTTTGTAGAGGCAGGGTTTTGCCATGTTGCCCAGGCTGGTCTCAAATTCCTGGGCTCAAGTGATTCATTCACCTCAGCCTCCCAAAGTGCTAGGATTACAGGCACGAGCAGCCACATCTGGCCTTTTTCAGTCTTTTCTAACTTGGGCTTCAAGACAATTAAAAAGTCTGACATCCCTCTCAAAAAAAATTCTGCCTTCAGTAAGAGGTGTTGGGCTCATGCCAAGTTATAAATGGTCAACTTTCAATGAGATTAGGGTGTTAGCACAGTAGCCAGATATGTGCACATTTTAAGATTTCTCCTCTGTGATAGTTAAGGCAAGTTGAGGCTAAAGACCTTCTGTTTAGGCAGGAAAATGGGTGGTAAATTTAAAAAGCAGCCCGCCCCTTTTATAAGCTTTACAAGCCTAGGCCATGCGAGCTGGCATTAGGGAGCATCACTGGGATCGTGACGTCCTCTTTGAATTCGGGTGCATGCCTGCTCATGTGTGCCTGTCATTCCAGGATTCTTTTGCCATCATTCATTAGTTGAGTTCACAGCTGCCTCTCCGGAAAGATGACGATCTAATTATAATTGCTCATGAATCAATGAAGAATCGGGAATGTTTTCCTGTATCAACAGATGCAAACAACGCAGACGTCTCTCTGTTCCTTTTGCCCTGCTTGTAAAGAAGAGTGAATCTGAAAGTGGGGCATCCAGGGCACTGTGTTCCGGTGCCCTTTAACTCGCTCGGAGTCCGTGATGCTCTTCTTTGGGGCCTGGCGTTGTGCTTTCAAGAAGAGCTGCCTCTCCCACCTTCCTCCTTCCTGCAGGCGATAGGGTGCAAGGGAGCTGCCTCTGTTCTAACTGCTGTCTTCGCTGATTGTGTGGTCTCTCATCCTTTATCTTGTCCTGTTTGTGATCATCAGCTAGATGGCTGCTCCTTAAATATTAACTTCTAAATTGTGCTAACATGCAAGTATTAAGGTTCCCCTTTCTTGCGAGTACTTGGCTCATAGAGATTTTGCTTCTCCACATTTCTTCAAGAATAGGCATTTGAATGGGATAACAACTGTCACAGAGTGGGGTAACACTGAACCTGCTTCTGTGGATATGCCTGGCTGGGTGTGGTGGCTCATGCCTGTAATCCCAGCACTTTGGGAGGCCACAATGGAAGGATCACTTGAGCCCGGGAGGTTGATATATGCATTTAGTTTTGAATAATTGTTATTTCAGAGGTAATATATGTTCATTTTAGAAAATTTAAAAAATAGAAGAAAAACAAGATAAAGGTGTGTTTCATAGCCGTATTTTTTCTGTTGCATATGTTCTTGATTTGGCTTTGTTTATAAAACATGCAGTATGTACCAGCATATCACCTAGAACTATTTTTCCACTCAGCGTATTATAGCATCTTTTCATGATGTATCGTGTATTTTTGTTGTGACTTTGTTTTTAATGACAATGTGATTGTTGGCCCGTTGTCTGGTTCTATCATGACTTGTATAATCAGTACCTATTATCAAATATTTAATTGTGGGACATTGAACTATTCAAAATTACCACATGAACGATACATAATCTTATGTATATTCTGTGATGACCATCTTCTGTGGCTTCATTTTTGCATACATTCTTGACATTTTTCTTGGGCAAGATTCTTTTTTTAAGAGACAGAGTCTTAGTCTCTCGCCCAGGCTGGAGGATGGTGGCATGATTACAGTTCCCTGCAGCCTCGAGTTCCTGGGCTCAAGCCATCCTTCTGCCTCAGCCTTTCAGAGCGCTAGGATATCATAGGCGTGAGCCACTGCACCCAGTGCAAATTTCTCTTAATGCAAATATTTAAGGCTCTTGATACATACTGATAAGTCATCCTCTAGAGAGGCTTTCCGAAGCAGTGCTCCCACCCACCGTGTCTGGAAGTTTCTATTTTATTACCATCCCAGGTGGTGAATCTCTTATTGACCATTGGTATCTAAATTTCTTGTTTGATCTTTTTTTTTTTGGCATGTTTATCTTTCTTCTAGTTTTTGTGTTTTCAAAAGAACTCTTGCACCAGGAAGGATGGGAACTGACTGTTTGCCTTATTTGCAGCATATGCTGCTGTTTTTGTGTGTGGTGCTTCCTGAGTCTGGAGAGGCTTGGCAGCCTCTGGTTCAGGGTCTCTGGTTGCTGTGTTGCCCACTGGCATCTGCTGCCACCTCCTCTGTAACTGGGAAACAGCTTCCTGCTGAAAGCCTGGAAGCCCCTCATCACACACACGCAGGCCCTGCCCAGATGTCCATTGACTGGAAAGTGGAGGGAGAAGTTGTGGCGCATCCACACGTGGGAACACTGCCGGCAGCGAGCAGCAGGAGCCTCGTCCACGCAAAGCACAGCCATTATGCCGAGCCCAGGGGATGGAGCAGGCAAAGCTGTGTGGACAGGAAGTGGATTGGCAGCTGCCAGGGGCTGGGGGTCTAGGGGAATACAGACAGTTTCCATTTGGGGTAATGAGAAGTTCTAAAATTGATTATGTTGTCACACAACTCTGTGAACAGACTAAAAACCACTGAATCATACACTTTAAATGGGTGAATTTGATGGCATATGAATTACATATCCATAGAGCTGTTTTCAAAAAGAAGACGGACACAAAAGTGTATGTATGATATGGTTCCATTTATATCCAGTTCTAGGACAGGCAGAAGTAGTCTATGATAACAGAAGTTAAAAAGCCTTTGGGGTGGGGCAGACTGGCTGGAAAAGGTGATAGAAGTGTTCTGTGTGTGTTTGGTTTTTTTTAGTGCGCTTACTTGAGTATATGCGGTTGTCAAAACTCATCAAACTGGGGGAAAATGTGCTCTAATTTTTAAAAAAGAAACATGGGCCCTGATCCCTTCCTTTTTTTTCTTTTGCTATGATTTGGAAAAGGCTGGGGTTTTTTTCTGTTTTTCTCAGTTAATCGTTCTAAAATTATTTCTTTGCTGGGTTATCTCACCTTAACTCCTTCTGCATTGACAAGGATCCCAACCAGCCCCCACCAGCTAGCAGCTCCACCATATCTGAGGCCAGCTCGCCTTGGGAAACCACCCAGGGCCATCATTGGCTTCAGAGAACTAAAAACAGAGTTCTTCCCCAGCAAACAGACTGGGAGTCTGTTCTGCCGGGTATTTTAATTTGTGTGAAAACAATCATTTTGAGACTGTGGGGTTTGCCATTTCCCCTTCCAAGAGGAAGTGCCTTTACAATTTTGAAACATCTTGACATGCCATGAAGGTACTTTTGGAGACCAGGGGACATTTGGAAAGTCATGCAGATAACCTCAGGCAAGTGATACTTGGTTTATGGTACATGGGAAATCTACAGACACAGAAATGAGACTCAGCAGTAGAGGACAGACAGCACCTGCCTGCTTTCTTGTGGAAACTCAGTGGTGATGAGAGCTTTGCTCATTGCCTTTTTCTTGTGGGGGTAGGAGCTGGTCAGGCTCACCATCGAGAAGCAGGGACGTCCATCTCCGACGAGCCCCGTGAAGCCCAGTTCTCCTGCCGGCAAGCCTGATGGGTAGGTGCTGACTAACCCTCCCGTTGTGGGGGTCACGCCCAGTGGCAAAGTCTACACTTGGCAAGGTTGGGGCCTGGGGGTGGGCAGCACAAGGGTGGGCTGCTGGAGGCCCATATTCTTTTCTCTGGGGTGAGCAGTGTGTGTATATTTCATACAGGCTTGAAGTATTAACCCATGTCAAGTTTCCTCTTCAGCGTGATTGTTTCCAAGGACCGTGTGTGAGCGCGTCCAGTGACACACACCCGTGCTTTTGCTGGGCAGCTTCGTTTCATAATTACAAAGAACTTTAATGGCTTGGGCTTGGGGGCTTTGACTTGAGAGCACTCTTGCTTGATCAAGAGTAAACTGAGAGGGTGACGTGGATGCTTTTTAGGGTTTATATCTATTTCTACTCCAACCTCCTAGTAAAAATAGAAAACATAAATTTGGAGCTTTTTTCTTTTTTTTTTTTTTTTTTTTTTTTGATAGATTGAGACAGAGTCTCTGCTGGAGTGTGGTGGGGCAGTCCGGGCTCATTGTAATCTCCTCCTCTCAGGTTCAAGCGATTCTCCTGCCTCAGCCTTTCAAGTAGTTGGGACTACAGTCATGTACCACCATGCCCGGCTAATTTTTGTATTTTTGTAGAGACATGGTTTCACCATGTTGGCCATGCTGGTCTCAAACTCCTGACCTCAAGTGGTCCGCCCTCCTTGGCCCCCCAAAGTGCTAAGATTACAGGTGTGACTCACCACTCCTGGCCTAGAGCATTTTAGAGAGTCCTTAGATCATCTTCAGATGAGGAAACTAAGTGCGAAGTTGGGGGCACAGCCAAACTCCAGTAGCTCATTAGCAACCAAACCAGAACCCCACAGCTCTGTATCCAGGGAGCCTGCTCCTCAGCCCCACCTCACCCATCGTGTTCTCCCTGGTCACATCCTCACCCTCTCAGGGCCTGCATATGCTCTGTCCCGTCTTTGACCTTTCATAACCCCGAGTTCTTCCCAATTCTCCAGCCTGGCAGAGCTCCCCCTGACAGACCGAGAGGTAGAGATCCTAAACAAAACAACCGGGATGTCGCAGTCAACCGAGCTCCTCCCCGACGCCGCAGATGAAGAGGTCGCGCCCCCCAAGCCCCCTCTGCCTGGCATTCGGGTGGTTGATAATAGGTAATTACCTTCCTGTTTGTCCAGCACCTCCATGGCAGAATGAGCAAGAAAGGGAGGAAGGTAGGGCTCGGGCCCTTGCTCCTTAGCGCTGGGGGCTTGGCCCTCCTTGGGAGGCTGACTCCGGAGGTGTCCCCACCCCGCCTGGCCCTCCCTGGCCACACTGAGCTCTCCTGAAGGCTTCCTTGTGGCCTCAACCCAGGGACACCTGGTATGATTTATTGTGAAAGGAAAAGAAAGGGTTTTTCTCTTTGGTTCATTTGGTATTTACAGGTTTTATTTTGGTGGAGGGGAGTAGGCAAGAGTTGAAGTGTGAACATTGGATGTGGAGAATCTAGTAATGAAAGAACCCCACATCCTGTACCCCAGTATCGCTTTGGTGAGTGTGGTTTGGTCTGCCTGGACATTCTGGTCTGTTTCAGTCCTCCGCCAGCGTTGCCACCCAAGAAAAGACAGTCGGCGCCATCCCCTACCCGAGTGGCTGTGGTGGCCCCCATGAGCCGAGCCACCAGTGGCTCCAGTTTGCCTGTTGGAATCAATAGGCAGGTAATGCAGCCCCTGTTCCCTGCATGGGAAGGCAGGGGAGTGGGTGGGGGTGTTCAGGGATTTAGCTCCTGAAGCTGAAAGAAACCCATGGTCTTCAGGCTGATGTTTGTCACATTGGGGGTGTGAGAACTTGTACCGATCGTTCTCTCTCCGGGACATGGTCAGAGTTCCCATATGGGTATGAAGGTCAGGGCAGGGAGGCCAGAGGCAAAGGCATCTCCTGGGGACAGCTGGGCCACAGCTGACCCCGGCCCCAGTGCCCTCCCTGGCCACACCCCCTACGAACTCCAAATGGCTGCTTCTCAACTGTACGTATCCTTTGCTTGCTGATGTCAGAGGTGGTTTCTGAGCTGGCCTGGCAGTATTTCCTCCTCTAAGTAAACGCACCGGTTGCCTCACCCCTGATCTCTGCCACTGGTTCTCAGAAGTGACTTGGCTTTATTTCTCTTTTTCCACTTGAGGATTTTGACGTTGACTGTTATGCACAGAGGCGACTGTCAGGAGGCAGCCACTCGTACGGTGGAGAGTCGCCCCGCCTGTCACCCTGCAGCAGCATAGGCAAGCTCAGCAAGTCGGATGAGCAGCTCTCCTCTCTGGACAGGGACAGTGGGCAGTGCTCCCGGAACACAAGCTGTGAAACACTAGGTGAGCCGCCAGTGTCCTGTTCCATCCTTCTCTATGGCTTCTTTGGGGCCATACAGTCCTGGGTGGGAGTCCCAGGTCATGCAATCATTGACTGTGTGACTTTGGCCAACTCATTTAAAATCTGAGCCTCAGCTTCCTCATCTGCAAAACGAGGGTAATAGTACCTGCCTCCCAAGGAAGCTGTATAAATGAAATTACAATGTAAAACCACAGCTTGGATATTCAAGTGGTAACTGTTGTTACAGTTCATCTGTCGGTGTGTAATTTGACTCTCTTTACCAAAATTAATAGCCATTTGTGTCAAGAGCTTTAAACAAAGGGGTGGGGGGCCTGACAACACTTGACAGAGGCTGAAGGTGAGGAAGCCGCACGAGCCAGCCGTCTCGTTTCGGTGCTGAATGTCTGCTGGGCAGGGGGTTTAGAGAGCAGGAAGCTGTTCGTATCCTGTGAACTAGATATTTTCACTTCTGAGAATGTATCCTAGGAGCATAATCAGAGATTAATAGCAAGATTTCACTGGTAGGAAATCAGATGAATTATGGTACACTCTTTTGCTGGAATAATCTGTAGCTATTAAAAATCAGTCATATTGATAACTAGAATATGTATGAGACCATTTACATAGTATTCTCAATTGTTTCTCTTTTTTTCTGACATTTTATCTGGTCTTTTGAGACAGAGTCTCACTCTGTCACCCAGGCTGGAGTACAGTGATGCAATCTGGGCTCACTGCAACCTCCACCTCCTGGGTTCAAGTGATTCTCCTGCCTCACCCTCCCAAGTAGATGGGATTACAGACTTGTGCCACCGTATCTGGCTAATTTTTTTTTTTTTTAGTAGGGATGGGGTTTTACCATGTTGGCCAGGCTGCTCTCAAACGCCTGACCTCAGGTGATCTGCTTGCCTTGGCCTCCCAAAGTGCTGGGATTATAGGCGTGAGTGACTGCACCCAACCAATTTTTGTATTTTTAGTAGAGACAAGGTTTCGCCACATTGGCCAGGCCGGTCTCGAACTCCTGGCCTTAAGTGATCAGCCCGCCTCGGCCTTGCAAAGTGCTGGAATAACAGGCATGAACCACCACACCTGGCCCTCGGTTGGGCTTTTTTAAAAAGGAATCCCAGAGGCAAAAAGGGCATTTAAGGAAATACATCAAAATGTAAATAGAGGCCGGGCACAGTGGCTCTTGGCTATAATCCCAGCTACTTGGGAGGCCTGAGGCAGGAGAATTGTTTGAACCCAGGAGGCAGAGGTTGCAATGAGCCGAGATTGCAGCACTACAGTCCAGCCTTGGCAACAGAGTGAGACTCTGTCTCCAAAAAAAAAAAAAGAAAAGAAAGTACAGTTAGAGTACAGGATTGTGAGTGATTTTTATTTTCCTGATGTAATTTGCCACAGCTTCTGTAATGGTTGTGTATTTTTTTTTTTTTTTAAAGTAAGAAATGTAAAAAATACAGAAAAGTATAGCAAAACAGCCATATTCCCATCTGGTTTGCTTTTATAATCAGGGAGAAGAATGAAGAATATAACATGTAAATATTAAACCCTGGAGACAGGTCTTTGTCACACACCCATGAGCCAGCCAGGGAGAGGTGGGTGGGCCTGGCTGCTCCTGCAGGGCCTGTGGCTAACAGGTCTTTTTTTTTCCTGTTTGTGACTGCAGACCACTATGATCCCGACTATGAATTCCTCCAGCAAGACCTCTCTAACGCAGACCAGATACCTCAGCAGACGGCCTGGAGCCTTAGCCCGTTGCCAGAGTCCTTGGGGGAGTCTGGGTCTCCATTTCTTGGCCATCCTTTCCAGCTGCCTCTTGGCAACCATCCCCAGCCAGACGGAACACTGGCCCCAGGGCAGCAGACAGACACGCCGCCTGCTCTCCCCGAGAAGAAGCGCAGGAGCGCAGCCTCCCAGACAGCGGACAGCTCTGGCTGCAGGGTGTCTTTCGAGCGGCATCCCTCGCAGTACGACAATATCTCTGGGGAGGACCTGCAGAGCACAGCCCCAATCCAGCCCGTCACCTACGCGCCCTTCGCTGCTATACTCCCCTTTCAGCATGGAGGTTCCTCAGCCCCTGTAGAATTTGTGGGTGATTTTACTGCTCCTGAATCAACGGGTGATCCAGAAAAACCACCTCCTCTACCAGAGAAGAAAAACAAACACAGTAAGCTTTTGTTGCACCGTTGTCAGGAAACGTATTTTATAGCCTGAAATGGCAGCATGTTTTATTTCAGCATTAGATCAAAGTCAAACCAGTGGCCTCATTATTTCATAAAAGATAGGCCAACCAGGTACATAGACACTTCTGGGAGCCTGCTGTTGTCATTACAGGTGATCATTTTTAAAGGCTGATCAGCTGACCTCTCCTTTACACTCTCTATAAAATCTCAGGCCTGGTCTCCACAAAGCCTGAGGGCTTCTCCTCTTTAGATGGCAGCAGTTGACCTTCTGGCCTGATCTCGGTGACAGAGGGGAACGAGTTTCCTGGTCTGCAGGACAGCCTTGCAGCCCTAGCTGCATGGAGTGAGGTGGACATGTGAATTTCAGCAGAACTTACCTAGTATCCAAGGAGTGATGTCTTAAGGATCTCTGTCTAGGGCACGATGTCCTCTGTTCATGCTCTCAGAATGACTTGGGAGCTGAGATTGCCCTGCAGGAGTAATTGAGGACACTTCTTGGATCAGACATTTTAATATGATATTATTGGAGCCCAGGGGTGGAGCTGAAAATTTGAATATTTTCCAACTGTAAATCTGCCGTAAAAATACTAAGGAGAGTTCTAGAAATTCTGTTTTCTCCTAGCTCCCCTAACTGCTCCACACTTTTGGGAGTTGCCTGGCTCTCTCTGCCCCCGCCCTCTCCCCGCTTCACTAGCATAGTTCTGCTTCCATTTTCTTGGCATCACAGCTGTCACCATTTCAATGTGTGTGGCCACATTAGCCACACAGCCCCAGGCTTCCCTGGCCTCGGTTGACACATCCAGCAGAGAACTTCTTTGAACTAGAAATGGAATCTCTACTCCAAATTCCCAAAATGAGAGCATCTGAGCCAGCCTAGAGCTGGGCCCTGTTCTCAAAGAAGGGAAGACCTGGCTTGGTTAAATCCAGCAAGGATCACCCTGAGGGCCGGCTGCGTGGTCCACAGAAGGCGGAGGCTACGATGGTGTCATGCATTTCCCAGCTCCTGGGTGGGTGTTGCCCAGCTTGTGCGATGGCCTCATTGGTGTGGCCCCCTAGCCAGAGGGGGAGCTGGCTCTGTGGGACTAATGATGTCATCCCCATCTGTTGTGTACATTTGCTCATCAGAAACCAGGGCTCCCGCAGAGGGGTGTGCAGTGGCAATGCTAGAAGCATTTCCTTCTCTGCCCCTCCCTCTGCATGGACAAGTGTTTAAAGAGCTGTTGGTCTCCCCCTCCACCCCTGTTATCTTGGGCAGCATGCCATTCGGGCTCACCCCTTTCCTTCCCTAGGGGAGGGGTCCTCTGAGCTCAGACACTGGACAGAACAGCATCCTTGCAAATGCAGCAGATGCCAGAGAGCCTTCCCCTTCCAGCCCCTAGAACAAGTGTGGGCGTTGATCCTCATGCAGGGTCTCTAGAGAGGAGAGGGAAAGGGAGGGGCAGCCATTGTTTCCTTTGAAGCAGTCTCAAGTGGCTGACAATGCCTATTAATTTAGGCCACCATTTTGAGGCTTTAGCTCATTCATCAGTGTCTCCAGCACTAGAGCCTGCAAACATCTAAGAAACTCCCGAGCTGCAGGTGTGGCATGCCCTGAGCTAAAGCTTCACATGCCCCATCGAAGGTGGTCCTGACAGACACCTGCGAGGCAGGCCCTGTTAGCTCTGGTTTCATAGGTAGAGAAACTGCAGCATAGGTGGAGTAACTGAGTGTTGCCCAAAATCAAGTGGGGCACGGATCTGGGACTAAGAGCGCAGCCTGAGTTGTACCAGCCTGTTAGGCTTCCTCGCAAGCCGAGGAGAAAGAAGGATTTTGCCCTCCTTCCTTCAGATCCCATCCAGTTTTCAGTGTTGACCCCTATGCAGGGGGTGGTCTTCTCTGTACCCTGTGAAAGAGCCCCAAACTCAAGGCACCCTGAGCCTCAGTCCTCTGACTGCTCTTCACTCCCCAAGAGGACCCTCAAGTGACATTGTGGAAAATACCTCACAAAATTGCTTTGAGGGAAAGAAGGAAAGAATCATCACCCTGGACATGTGGCTAATGCTGGCCTGAGTTCGTGCACATTCAGTCCCAACGTCATGGCGTGTCCTCATCATTTGGGATGCACTGACATCACGAGAGTCCCCAGCTCCTCTTGCCAGGGGCAGCCCCATGAGTCCCTTGTGCCAGACAAGCCTTGTGATCATTTTCTGCCACCTGAAATCCCCAGTCCCAGGCTCTGAGCACTGGCAGCTGAGCCTTCCCAGCAGTGCTGGCTGCCTGGTCTCTGGGCTGCCACCGGGCTGCTTTTGAAATGGACCAGATCCTCCTCATTTCTAGAAGGCTGGGAACATCACTGCTATTCTGTGCTTGGCAAGCAGGTCTCTACAAGGACTTCGACATCAAGAGTTCAGAAAGCCCTCCTGAATAGATCACAGTTTCACAGAAGTCAGGCAGAGGTGGTTGTCTTTAGTCTTTTTCCCTTCTCCATAGTTCACTGCAGCCTTGAACTCCTGAGTTCAAGAGATCCTCCCACCTCAGCCTCTTGAGTAGCTGAGACCATAGGCACATACCAACATTGCTAATTTTTTTCTTTTCTTTTTTCTCTTTAGAGATGGGGATCTCACTATGTTGCCCAGGCTGGTGTCAAACTCCTGGCCTCAAGTGACCCTACTGCCTCAGCCTCCCAAAGCACTGGGATTATAGGCATGAGCCACTGTGCTTGGCCATGTTTTGTTTTTTTAGGGAGCAATTTGTGGGTGCTTGGGATCACCTTCGTAGGCTTGCCTCTTCCTCTGGAGCCTGGTGATGTTAGTTGTGCAGCATTAAAGAGGGAGTTTGGGGCTGGGCATGGTGGCTCACGCCTATAATCCCAGCACTTTGGGAGGCTGAGCCAGGTGGATCACCTGAGGTCAGGAGTTCTAGACCAGCCTGACCAACATGGCGAAACCCTGTCTCTACTAAAAATACAAAAATTAGCTGGGCATGGTGGCTTGCATCTATAATCCCAGCTACTTGAGAGGCTGAGGCAGGTGAGTCACTTGAACCCAGGAGGCGGAGGTTGCAGTGAGCTGAGATCACGCCATTGCACTCCAGCCTGGGCAACAAGAGTGAAACCCCATCTCAAAAAAAAAAAAGGAAGTGTGGGACAAGCTCAGGGGGCTGTGAGCTGCCCTTTCAGTAGCAGCAGCTGACCGCAGGGGGAAGCATCTCTTCCTGTGCATCTTTTACAACCAAGTTCTGCTCAGTGCTTGTTGGAGCTAGTAAGAAATTCTTACATATTCTTTTAAATAAAAAAGGTGACTTTGAACCCTTTTCTACAGTGACACCACTTTCCCCTGGAGAGGGAGCATCAGAAAGACACCCCTGGAGAGAGAGTATTTCCTGTATACCTGGACCCTCAATGCAGCTCAGGGAAGAGATAAACTCCCTATCTCTGTGACTGTCTTCCTCAGCTCAGTGCCTGGCCTTCCTTGATTTGTTGACTAGTTTAGGTTTGCAGAGAAGCCTCTGGCTTTGTGCTTATTTGAAGACACAAAATTTAACACTGCAGACCTGCCACTTTTTCTGGGCGTCTGAATGTCAGCTCCACCTGGCAGGTGCTCATGGCACTTGTGACCTGCCCCAAGGGGAAAGTGCCTGCTCAGGAGGTGGCTGAGACCTGCCGTCCCTGTGCCCACCACGTGCTCTCACTTGAGTCTGGAGGTCGCATTAGGGTTCCCCGTTGGTGTTGCACGTCTGCCAGTCTGGATGTGCCTCTTCTGTTAGCACAGCAGACAGAGTTTGATTTCACTGCCTGAGAAGTCCTCTGTGCTCCACCTATTCATCCCTCCCTGAAGTGCTTTCAGTGGAAAGCCCCCTAGCTGCTGTGGGAAGAATGTGGGGTCGGGGCCCCCTGCCGTGACAGCCCCCAGCCCTACTGCAGCTTTGTCCCTCGGTTTCACAGTGCTGGCCTACATGCAGCTGCTGGAGGACTACTCAGAGCCGCAGCCCTCCATGTTCTACCAGACGCCGCAGAACGAGCACATCTACCAGCAGAAGAACAAGCTCCTCATGGAGGTGTATGGCTTCAGCGACTCCTTCACTGGGGTGGACTCTGTGCAGGAGCTGGCCCCACCGCCTGCCCTCCCCCCCAAGCAGCGGCAGCTGGTAAGTGGCACCCTCCTTTGTGACCAGAGCTTCCAATCCTAGCAGATCTCTAGGAGCCAGAATGACCCTCCTCGGGGGCAGGGTTAGCCCTCCTCGCAGCCGTGGCAGGGCCCTGGGTTTGGGTATGGAAGGCACTATCTCCCACACAGATGCTTTCTTTTCCTCCTGAGATGCTCACCAGCAGCCCAGCTCCCACTCCGCCACCTCCCCACCCTGGGGTGCAGGGACCTTTCTTTTCCAGAGCAGCCCCACACAGCAGGGACAGGCTTGTACTCAGAGTGTTTGCTCTCTCTGCTGACAGTCTCTTGTATTTTTTATTTCTTCTTTGGCTTCAACATAGACCTCACAGAAAGGAGGGACTCAATCAAAGCACAGGGCATGGTCTGTGCATGGCCATCTGTGGACTTGATTGGCATAATGGGCCTAACTGTGTAGAGTGACTTACATCCCAGCCCTGGCCAGGGAGGGCCCAAGGAAAACAAGCGCCATTGAAGCAGAGGATGGCTTTAAACAGAGCCACTCTGTTCCAGACACATCACCTCCCTCTTCTAGAAAACACTCCTGTGCTGAGGACCCCCGTGCACGTAATGAAGCACGAGTCAGCACAGTAGGCAGGCTGTTCCACCGCGGGCACCCTGTGAGGCTCTGGAACTGCCCAGACACTGGGCGGGTGGGCAGATCAGGGATGCCTGTGGCTTCTCTCTTTGCTGCCAGTTAATGAATGTGGAGGGCCATAGTCAGGTTTGAGAATCTGAGCCTCCTGTCCAGCCGTGCTCCCCAGGAAGAGTGCACCCCACAGGGAGCTCCAGGCTTGTTCAGAGCTCCCTGGACTCCTGTGCTCTTGTGCTGGCCAGTCTGGGGGGTTCTACCAAGAAGGAACTGGTGTGCACTGGGCGGTCTTTTATCCATTGTGAGAGGACATCAGGGACCATCTGATTTTTCTGGGAGGCAGCTGCAGACTGGAGGACAAATGTCCCTGGGTTACTCCGTATACCTGAGCCTTCCTACACTCAGTAGGCTCTGGCTGACCAAGCAAGCTGTTTGGTTTCCACTCAAAAACCAACTCAGCCCCTTCAGAGGTGGCCATGTCCAGTAGAGGAAAGGCCAGGCTTAGAGTTGGGAGTCCTGGATTCCAGTCCTGCCATTCATTAGCTGTGTCACACTTGATGCGTTCAGGGTCTCAGATCTTCACCTGCCCTGCCCACCCCACAGACACAATTGAGAATATGAATCTCACTTGCTCTGAAGATGTCTCAAAAGGGTCTCCACCATGGAAACATAAATGCCTCATTTAGAGACCCCTTGCCTAAAATGTTTGGTTAAAACCGTTGCCAAGTGCCAGGACTGCTGGTGGCACATGCCTGTATTCTCAGCTACTTGGGAGACTGAGGCAGGAGGATCACTTGATCCCAGGAGTTCAAACCAGCCTGGACAACACAGCGAGACCCTATCTCAAAAAAAAAAAAAAACCATTGCTGAGCCAGATGTATTGAAAGCATTTTCAGCCCATTGCCCATCCTTGGGCATCTTCTGCATGCTGTGGAGTCCACAGGCTTCTGAATATGTGGGGAGACACCTGTGGTGAGTGCCTGGAATCAGAACCTATTCTACCACCCCTGCAGGGCAGTAGTGAGCTCAGCCCCGTAGGCCTGTTAGGAACACCTGTATTGAACACCTCCCCAGGTAAGCACCAGGGCTCTCATCTGGCTCTACATGGTCCTTGCCACACTCCTGGCATCGCCATTATAAATAAATTGAGGCTGACAGAGCCAGAGAGCCTTAATCCAAGCCCGCAGCTGGAAACAAAAGACCTGGGAGCCACGCCCAGCCCTAACGGCAGCCCAGGCACATCACCTAACAGGCCCTGCCAGCTGCTGGTCACACCCTCTCTCAAATGCAGATGGAGGAACCGTTATCCACACTTCACAGACAAAATTGGTGCTCATTATACACACCTGTTGGCCCACGTACAATGTGGTGGGCAAGATTCCAGGTGCTTCACACATATCCCATTTCATGCTCCCAATAGCCCCACACAGGAGGCACCAGGGTTACCCCTGTTTTACAGATGGAAAACGTGAGGCACGGAGACCTTTAAGTAGTGCCCAAGGCTAAACAGAAATGGCAGGGTCCAGACTCAAGCCCAGGCAGCTGGAGCCCCATCTTGAGTTCTGAAGATGTGTGAATGGCACATGGATCCGCTCCCCACAGAGGAGCAGCTCAGAGTCCAGAGTCAGCCCAGGCCTGTGTGGCCCCAGCCCCTCACCTCCTCCTACCCAACCTGCTTCCAGTGGACACAATTTCAGGATATAGTGCAAGGAAGTGAAGGAGGGTGCCCTTTCATGCAGATAGCCTTCGGCAGCTGGTTTAGTCCCTAAACTGAGCCCAGAAGCCGTCCCTCTCCAGGACGTCCCTGCGCGGATGTGGAGAGCAGCCTCCATGGCCTTTCCCTGCACGTACCTGACTGTTCTCTGCTTCTCTCCCTCCTTCCCTGCCTTCTCTCTCCTCCCCTCTGTCCAGCAGGCCTCCTGTGCTGCTGCTTCCTTCTCCTCTGTCTCCTACTGTGTCCAGCAAACTAAAGTGGCCTTCACCCCCGAGGACGGCAGTGCCGCTCAGGGCCTCAGTGTGTCCGTCTCTAACTCCTTTCTCAGCCGGCATGGCAGCTTGCCTGTGCCCTCGGTGAGTCGCTTCCTGCTGTTCTTTACTTGGAAACGCATGAACAGGGCCATTCCTTGGTCGCGTGTGCCCCAGCCATGTGTTCTGCTGTCCTTCTGCGGGTCCCTACATAGATGGGAAGGCTATAAATAGTTGGTCCTCTGGGGCCTTAAAGACCGTCAGACATGTCCAGGTGAGGCAAGGGTCGGCATGGGAAATGTGAGTGGCCACCGAGGGAGCATCACCAGTCTGGCATAAAGTGACAGGGACATTTTGGTCTCTTTATCCCAATCTCTCTTTGGGCCTTGGATTGGCCTGCTGCGCTCCAGGATTAAAAAGGAATAATTGCCAGGTGTGATGGCACTCACCTATGGTCCCCCCTCCTCAGGAGGCTGAGGCAGGAGGATTGCCTGAGCCCAGAAGTTCAGGTCCAGCCTGGGCAACATAGTGAAACCCTGTCTCAAAATAAATAAATAGAAAGATAGATTAGATGGGTATGGGTGGGTAGATAGATGAGATGGATGCGCAGATGTAGTAAGCCAGGTGAGGAGAGCAGGCTTCAGCAGGCCATGATGCTTTGACTTCTAGGGCTGCATTCGTTTTCTTTTGCTGCATAACAAACCACCCAAAACTTGGTGGTTTAATACAGTAGTGACCATTTGGTAGCAGGATGGTTGTCCTGCTGTGGTCCAGACCTGGCCAATTTTGGCTGAACTCACTGACATCCCTGGGACTTGAGCTGGGACAATTGGGCTGATTTGGCTGTGATCCATGTGGTCTGTCACCTCCATCAGGCTGGGCTTGTTCACATGGCAGTTGGCAGGAATCCCCCCCAAAAAAAACAAATGGAAGCATGCAAGGCCCCTTAGAGCCTGAGCTCAGAAGTGGTATGGTGCCTGTTCCATTGCAGGTGTGCAGTTAAGTGACAAGGCCAGCCCAGATTCAGGGAGCAGGGAAGCTGGTTCTGCCTCTTGATGGTAGTTGCTGCTACGTCATGTTGCACAGGGACGTGGATCTAGGAAGGGAAGGGGGTGCAGCCATTTGTGTAAACAGTTTACTGCTGAAGCCTGGGGCCGCCGACCCTGAAGTAGGCACAGTCTTTCACTGGCATCTGCAAATGTCCAAGAACCTCAGTGGCCACCGTCCTCCCTTTCATCTGTTAGAATGAAACTAAGCACAGGGGAAGGAACCCTAGAATGATTTCGAGTCCCACTTGAAGGACGTTTGGCCTTGGGTGGTACACTTCTCCCCCCATGGCCCCCGCCAAACCCGCTTCAGCATCTTCCCTTTGGGACTGGATTTTACCTGCCTCGTATTTTGTAATTGTGAGAATTAAGTAAAATTATATGAAATGGCCAGATATGTAGTAATCTTAGAAAGCTTATTACTCTTCTTGATCTCATTACCTTAGTAATATGACTCCTGGAGCCTAGTCTTGTTCTGCTTCTAACTTTACACATGAGAGTTAGGCAAATGGCTTAACCTATTTGGCTTTTTCTCCCCCTCTGTAAATGATGACTTTGGACCAGGTGGCTTGTAAAGACTTATCCAGACTCAGGTTCCCAGTTTGGTTTTGTCTGGCTTCCATCTGTGCCCAGGGTGGACAGTCCACTGGGTACTGAGGCCTCACACCTTAGAGCCCCCAGCAGCCCTACTCATGCTGGGGAGGCAGCCTCCCCTCACCCTGCTCTGGCCACACAGAAGCCCCTGGTTTCCTCAGAGGCACCTCTGGCAAGCTCCTTTCACAAATCTTGAGAAACTTGGCCTTTGGACAATCCTAGCTCTTGACTGAGTTGGTTTTTGTTTTTGCTTTTTTTCCCCCTTAGAGTTTCTACAGTACCCTTTTTGAGCAGTTAGGGGTTAGAGGACTATGAATGAACTGGACTGTTTGCTACAAAATTAAATTTGAGAGCATTTTAATTAAGTTTGGTTATGAATACGTCATAGTTTTTATCCCTGGGACATACAAGAGTCTTAAGACATCTTATATCTGAAATACTGCATTCTTAGTAACAAGTCCACCAAGGAGCCCGAGGGGAGGACCTAATAAGGTGCTTTATGTCATTAAAAGGAACATGCCTCAGGAACCATTAGTAATGGCCAGGTGTTTGGGACATTCGACATCCGGTATGGTGAAACCTCAGAGAAGTGATTTAGTATAATGCTAACATGTTCTTCATCTATCCTTTGGTTAAATTCTAAGATGACCCCCAGACATAGGGCTTTGGATTACTATCAGAGCAGAAATTATTCCTGAATTTCTTCGTTCTATCGCCCTTGGGCCTGTGTCATTTGTCCAGCATGGAGTTCTGAAGGAGTGCCCCTTGGAAACGCAGCAGTTGTCAAATCTGAAGATACCTCATCTGGTTCTTGGCACAGTGGACAGTTATTTCTACTAAGAGATTCTAACCATTGAAAACCTCTTGCCAAAGGAATTTGTAGGGCATAAACCTGTGTTGAACAATTTAAACGGAAGTGGATACTGAGAAGTATTCTCATTCCCTCCTCCCTTGATCCCTGGAATGGGTTTAATTCAGCAAGCTCAGGACATCAACTTTTCCAGGTCAGGTTGCAAAGGCATGCAGTTGAGGAAGATGGCCCCAGCCAAACCAGGTCTGCAGGTCAGCAGGTGGAGGCAGACAGGCACGCAGCCTGCTGCAGAACCAGAGAACATTTGTACACATACATTTTAATTAATTTGGGGCCTGAGTACATCATGGTTCTGTTGTTGTTGTTTTGGGGGGTTTTTTTGAGATGGAGTCTTGCTCTGTCGCCCAGACTATAGTTCAGTGGCGCCATCTCAGCTCACTGCAACACCCGCCTCCTGGGTTCAAGTGATTCTCCTGCCTCAGCCTCCAGAGTAGCAGGGATTACAGGCATGCACCCCCACACCCAGGTAATTTTTTATATTTTTAGTAGAGACAGGGTTTCACCACGTTGGCCAGGCTAGTCTTGAACTCCTGACCTCAGGTGAGCTGCCCACCTCAGCCTCCCAGAGTGCTTGAATTACAGGTGTGAGCCACTGTGCCCAGCCACATCATGGTTTTTATCCATGGAATATACAGGAGTCTTCAGACATCTTGTATGTAAAATACAAGTTCACCCCATGTTAAGGCACACATGAGAAATGACATGAGAGTTGTAGTCATAGAAACCTTGTGGTTGGTGGAGCAAGGACACGGTCTTGGGGACTAGGGGTGGAGCTTGAGCTGTGGCTTGAAGGACAGTTGGGATTTTTTTTAGGAGATAAAGGGGAGAGAAAGCAAATCAAAGATGTTCCAAGCAGAGGTACCTGCCAGAGGCATGGAGGCCAGGAAGTCCGGAGTCCATTCAGGGAGGTCATCTCAAATGTAAGCACTTAGAATAAGGTCATGAGAGGGATGATGACAGCCAGCCCTCCCCTGTCTCCCCAGAACCTCCACTCCAGGGAAAGCCAGCCCTCACCACCCACAGGCTCTGCCGGCCTTGAACTCTGCTGTTTCTTGGGCTTCTCTCTCATCAGCACCACACACGTGTTGGTCCCAGGGGGTCCCTCCTACCATCCCCTGCACAGGCTTCAGCCCAGTCTGCCTGGCCCTTCATTCATTGGAGGTGTTAGCTCCTGGTCCCGAGGCTCCCCTCTTGCCTGACTTAGGCCAGGAGCCCAGGAGACTTAAGACTCCAAGCCTTGACACATGGTCTCGGGGGCATTCAGACCACCTTGATAAAAGAAAGGTGTCAAGAAGAATATACGCATGACTGTGAGAAGGGAAAGATGTGGAGAGGTGGGTGCAGCCCTCACGGTGCCCCCAGGCTGTCTCTGCCGTCCTGATTGGGCCAGGCCCTGCGCCGCGCCTGCCTGCTGTCTGGGGGCGTGGCTCTGTGTCTGAGTGACGGCCTCACTATCCCTCCCGGAAGTAGCGGCGCAGTCTGTGCTTTCTCCCTGGACTGCTCTCCGGGCTCTTGCTCCCTCGGCTGCCTGCTGTATTCTCACGGTGGCCCTGCCTGGTGGCTGCCCATCTCCCTTCTCTGCCCCACTCCTTCCCATCTTCCACGGCTGACTGCCACGGCCCTCTTCTCTGCATGTCCCTTCTCTGGCTTGCATTTTCTCTGCTTCTGCACATCTTGAAAGTTTTAGATTAGGTTCCTATTCACGGTGCCCTTGAATGCAAGATATGCAGAATCTCTCAGTAACTAATAGGGCTGCCTGTGTCCTGCCAGTGCTGCAGGGCTGGCATTGGAAGAGACACCTTCCTCCGTTCCGCACACTACTTTCTTATATGTTCTTTTTTTGCTAACTCAGAGTTATGGGTACTTACTCTCACTAAGAGATCTATTTGGGTGCTAGAAATCTGTTGAAATATTTCTTTACCATCTTGGCTTCTGGATAATTAAAACTGCTAGCAGACCCAAGTTGTGAGTAGAAGTTATATTGAAATGCCTATAATAACTGTCATCTGTTGTTTTTTTTTTAAATAAAAAAAAAAAAAAAAAAAAACTTCAGGCTAAAAGAGTCAAGTGTATATCATCTTGAGGACTTTTTTTTTTAAAGGGTCTGCAGAGCAGCTGGCATCCCATTCTAGGCAAAACAGTCGTTTTCTGAGATGGGCCCAGGTTTCTGTGCATCAGCACATGTGCTCTCAACAGAAGGCCTGAGCTTCATGCAGATGCCTGGTCCCGGTGCCACAGCATCCCCTCACCGGGAAGTGCCAGGCCAAGCTCCTCAGGACCCGTGGCAGCCTCCTTCACTCTGCCTGTGCATCTGCCTCTCACTCGCTCGCCCTTGCTCTCTGCCCCCCACCGCCAGCCTCCTAGCCACAAACTGTCCCCAAGGATGAGCCATCACAGAGACCCTGGGCATGCTGATGGGCCTAAAGGCCAAACAGGAAAGAGGAGGAATGGAGAGAGGAGAGAGAAGGGAGGAGAGGAGGAAGAAAATGGAGTGGCCCATGGGAGGGAAGTGGAAGACAGACCCATGGGGCTCTCAGCACCTCTTGGAAAAAATAAGTTTCTGCCATCCTGGCCTTTGTCCCTTGGTCCTCCCT